TCGAAAACCGATAAAAATGTCTTATTGATGTGATTATTGTTTAGCATATTTAAAAATCAAAAATCGATAAACCAAATTGATAATACATAAAACAGAACCGAAACGATCTATGCACACCCTATGTTTGAATATTTATGTATACTATAACAAATAAAGGATTTTACGATAAATTATTTAGCAACGTCGCTATATTATATTTAACGCCAATAATAAACATGAATATTTATAACCAACACTTTATATAAATAATACTAAATTTTTAAAATAAAATTTAATTATATTAACTCAATTACCGCTAAAATTAAACTAGTTCAGTGAGGGAGAGTTTGGTTAGGGCAGCCCAGGATGAAGTGGTGAGGTCAAAGCAGCCAAAAAAATATTAATTATTACTGGCATTTTCAAGGGTCAGTGGTCTTATTAGTTGGAATTGAACTGTGAAACATGGTGGAATTTACTATTATTACATCCTCCGTTCTATTTTATATGACACAATTGAAATTACAAGAATCAATCAAGTTTTTCTTTGATCGTTTCTTTATATATATCTTTTACCTATTTTAAGTTGTTAACTTATAATTTACAATCAAAATTTAAAAGGGTATATCTTGAAATTTAGTTATACCACATAAATTGCGATCGAGAAAGTAGTAACTGTACAAAGTCATTGCAACTTCACTATTATTCCACCTAAACAACCATTTAGGGGCCCATAATGGGCCACATTAGTCTTGACTCCACACTTAGTTTTTCTTCTATAAATTCTCCATCTTAGTTGCATCTTTTGCATACAAATTCTAACCTCACTATATTTTCCACTCCAACAAATTTTAATACCCTATTTTTCTTGAAAAAAAACACAACTTTTACTTTAATCCTATGGATAATTTACCAAAATGTGGAGCAAATTATGTGTCCCTAACTCCTCTTACCTTCTTAACAAGGGCCTCAAAATGTTATGCCAATAGAACCTCTATCATCTATGGCAATGCCCGTTTCACATGGAGGCAAACCTACGAGCGTTGTTGTCGCGTTGCTTCCTCTCTTCGATCTCTTAACATTGTCAAGAACGACGTGGTAAGTACAAAAAATTAATCAATTATTGTTTAAACGCGATGAATTTACATTATGTATATGTTGAATGTGTAAAAACCTAACACAATAAGTTATCTCATGTTTGTTATTAATACTTATTATAGAGATTTACATGAAATTACATCAAGTGACATGATTCTATATATACCTATTTCACTATAAAAGAAAAAAAAAATTAGTGACAAGACAATTTTTGTCGCTAAATAATAAAAATCTTTTTCTAATTCATTTTTAAATAAGTTAACGATAGATTATTAAAAAAAATCATATGTTAGCTACGAGGTATTTGGCGATAGATTAACGACGAATTTCACAACTAACCCCTTTTTTTCTTTTTGTAGGTTTCAGTGTTGGCACCAAATGTTCCAGCAATATATGAGATGCATTTTGCTGTGCCAATGGCAGGGGCTGTATTGAATACAATAAATACAAGGCTAGATGCTAAGAATATTGCAATTATTCTCAAACACTCTGAAGCCAAAGTATTTTTTGTTGATTTTGAGTACCTTGAAATTGCTAAAAAGGCCCTTGAACTACTAGCAACATCCAAAATGACAAGAATACCCCTCGTCGTTGTTATCGATGACATCGACTCCCCTACCGGAATCCGGCTAGGTGAGCTCGAGTACGAGCAACTCGTGCACCAAGGAAATCCGAGTTACGTCCCCGAAGAAATCACCGATGAATGGGATCCAATCACCTTGAATTATACATCAGGTACGGTTGAAAACATCTGATCATTTCATCTAAGAATTTTAATTTATTTATAAAATTGGTAAACCCCCCTCTATCTCAATTTATTAGTCTATCGTAAAAAGAATGACAACTTTTTATATTTGATAACAATTTAGCTTAAAACATCCTATTTTATCCTTAATGATTTATGACCACAAATATAACTAACATAAGTTTCAAAAGTGGTTCTTTTATCCTTAAATTCAAGGGGAATACCATCACATGAGTTGAGATGAAAAGAATATATGTATTTATTTACTTAATTATGTCTTCAACAGGTACGACTTCGGAGCCTAAGGGGGTTGTGTATAGTCATAGAGGGGCATTTTTGAGCACTTTGAGCCTACTATTAGGTTGGGAAATGGGTACTGAGCCAGTGTACTTATGGTCTTTACCAATGTTCCATTGCAATGGATGGACATTCACATGGGGTGTAGCAGCACGTGGTGGGACAAATATTTGTATTAGAAACACAACTGCCAAAGAAATGTACACAAACATTGTGTTACATAATGTTACACACATGTGTTGTGCACCTATTGTTTTCAACATCTTACTTGAAGCCAAGCCACATGATGAGTACTCCAAACCCATAACCACACGTGTCCAAATCCTCACGGGCGGCGCACCGCCACCCGCACCTCTTCTCGAGAAAATCGAGAAGCTGGGATTCCACGTGGTCCATGCTTACGGGCTCACAGAGGCAACCGGGCCGGCCCTCTTGTGCGAATGGCAAGAGAAATGGAACAAATTACCTAGTGAAAATCAAGCTAAGTTGAAATCGAGACAAGGGGTTAGTATACTAACCCTAGCCGATGTCGATGTGAAAAATATCGACAACATGCTTAGCGTGCCACGTGACGGAAAATCAATCGGAGAAGTGTGCTTGCGCGGGAGCAGTATTATGAAAGGGTATTACAAGAACGATAAGGCGAATTACGAGGTTTTTAAAAATGGTTGGTTTTTTACTGGTGATGTTGGTGTAATTCACCAAGATGGATATTTGGAAATTAAAGATAGGAGTAAAGATGTTATAATTTCTGGTGGAGAAAATATTAGTAGTATTGAAGTTGAAAATGTTATAATGAAACATAAAAATGTTGTAGAGGCATCTGTTGTGGCTATGCCACATCCAAAATGGGGTGAAAGTCCATGTGCATTTGTGATTTTGACAAAAAATTCACAAATTAAAGAAGTGGATATTATTGGACATTGTAGATCAAATTTGCCAGGATTTATGGTACCAAAAAAGGTGAAATTTGTTGAAGAATTACCCAAGACTGGAACAGGAAAAGTGCAAAAAAATCATTTGAGAACAATTGCTAAAACATTTGTTGTTGTCACAGAAAAGTCAAATCATCAAAAAAGCAAAAATACAAGTCAAGTCAACAGAGAAAAGCCAAGATATTATGAGCAAATTCTTGCCTTGTCTCGTCTATAATAGCAACAACATACTAACGTCATTTCACAAAGTGAAGACCGAAGAGGATATGATATATGCATAACAGATCTTTACCTTAAAGATAGACGAGATATTTTCGATGTGTAAGGAATTATTATTATAAAAACTTAAGTGTTTAAATAGTATTATTATACTTTTTTGGCTGCTGTGGAGTTTTTTTTTGTTGTTGTTGTGTGTTTTACCATAAAGTAATTAATTAATTATGTAACTTTTGGTGACATCACTAATTTGGAGTTACTAGTGACGATTGTCTTGCTTACGTTATCACCTCTATATTTCAACTACTCCCTCTGTTTAAATTTATGTGCCAATTTATATTTTTCGGTTCTTAAGATTCAAATCAGTTTATGTTTAATTGTACTATTTTCATATATCTTTTTAATTGAATTGTCAATTATTGAACCTTATAGTTCTTTTTACGTAGTTTTCATTTCATGCCTAGATACACGATCAAACTTAAATTGTTTGACTCTCCAAATTCTAATTGTGCAACATAAATTAAGATAAAAAGAGTATTATTTTATTGTATTAAAAAAATTATTTATGTACTACAAAAAATACTAATCTTTCTTTAAAAGTGGGATAATTTTTAACAAAATATGAAGAAAAAGTGATGGTCCAATTTAGACAAGTCCACCTGACATTTGATGGGCTTGGGCAGCACCGATCCGTAATCCTTCCACTGCGAAGAGTAGGAGGCAATCGTTGCTCTGTGAAGCCAACCTGACGCAGTACCCTCCACTCTAGGATCCATGAAATTTTAGACAAGTCCACCTGACATTTGATGGGCTTGGGCAGCACCGATCCGTAATCCTTCCACTGCGAAGAGTAGGAGGCAATCGTTGCTCTGTGAAGCCAACCTGACGCAGTACCCTCCACTCTAGGATCCATGAAATTTTAGACAAGTCCACCTGACATTTGATGGGCTTGGGCAGCACCGATCCGTAATCCTTCCACTGCGAAGAGTAGGAGGCAATCGTTGCTCTGTGAAGCCAACCTGACGCAGTACCCTCCACTCTAGGATCCATGAAATTTTAGACAAGTCCACCTGACATTTGATGGGCTTGGGCAGCACCGATCCGTAATCCTTCCACTGCGAAGAGTAGGAGGCAATCGTTGCTCTGTGAAGCCAACCTGACGCAGTACCCTCCACTCTAGGATCCATGAAATCTAGGCCTTCGCCTAGGTCACATGGACCAACTCCTCGCTTGGAGAGGGCAGTCCAGTATACTACTAGCCTAAACCCTACGATTTGGACTAATCCAATATTCCATCACTTTAAAGCCCCCACTCAGGTTATAAGTTCACATTACTGAACTCGGCATACAATCATTAAACTCTCAACTTTATAAATTGCATTTATTTCTTTTCTTCAAACGATGTGGGAATTAATTAGAATAATTTTATTAATTCCTGACTTTATATTTATATCAACAAACTTTTTAAGAGCTAAAAACAAAAAACATTATCTAATATTGATCCTTGCTAGGATGTCTAATTCTCTCTCTTATTTATGTAATCTAATTAATTTTCACTAAAAAAATTCAAATAAATCCAATCAAATTATGGTTTTTCCTTATTGGTTAATATCATGTCTGAGAAAATAAAAATATTTTACTGACTTTCAAAAACCAATAAGTAATTACATTCATGATCTATAATTATGTGAATTCTTATTTAAAATATGTATAAATTACATGCCCATGCCCTTGGTATTGATAATTACACTATTAATGTGGTTCGCTCGATGTAAATTAAAGACATCGAATACTGATTACTTGTCATCATTTAATTGAGACGCGACACTTCTCCAATCAAAAGGGACTTTAAAATATCTTCACAAACTACACTATCATAGATCAATACATGTCCACCATCATGAACTTCATGATATTGAATCCAAGGTAACATTTTTGCTACATACCTTTGTAATTTCAAATTAATAAATTTGTCCTCACAACCTTGCCAAATGTGAACATTACTTTGACCATTTTCAAGAATAGGACAACTAATTAGCTCCAATGGATCAAAATCCCACTTACTAAAAGCCACAAGGAAATCATTGCAAAGGTTGTCAAAATCACTTCTACTCCTTAGTTTTTCCTGTAGATGGCAAATAGAAAAATAAAGACTCAAAAACTATAGTATTTTAACAAACTAATTCACTATACTTGTATTGCCCTCAAATTATTGTCCACTTTTTACCCTTTTTTTAAAGTCAAACATTGATCATTAACATCATATAAAAGAAATAATTTAAATAATAATCCACTCAACTGCTTAAATGAAAAGTAGCCGGTTGAGGTATAATATGTATAATTTATATATAATATGTGTATAATTGTATATAACTGGCATATTCATTAACATAATATAGAAGATATAACATAAATAGCCATCCACTCAACTGCTTAAACTAAAAATAGTTGTTTGAGGTATATGATTTTTGTATAATACGTATATTGACTAGGAAAATTAAACAATTAATCCGGCCAAAGTTTTCTATAATGATCCATAAAATATATAGAAATGCATGAGGTATTGAGATATTTTTAAGCGGATACAAGATTATACACTGATTATACATATATTAGTCATGAATTTAAGTCACAAACTAAACAACAATTTGAAGCATATAGGAATAAGTATATACAAACATTGAGATAGCTATGAAATAGAATTAATTAACTTTACCATTTCAAATTCAGGTACATTCTTGGTTGAAGAAGATGTGGATGATTTTGCAATTACCAACCAATGTAGTAATGATCTAGGAACATATCTAGCAAGAAACATCATCCACCAATAATTTTTTTTCCTTTTATCATCCTCAATAAGATTGAGAGGAAGAGATGGCCATTGGTAATTTACAATGGGGACAACAAATGCCACACCTGCTAACCTATTAAAACACTACAAGATCAAAATCACAATAAACAAAAGGGCGGAATACATTGACAAACCCTTTAAATTTGACCGTAAACAAAGGTAGATATAGGATTTTGATAAATTATATATACATATCAAGTAAAAAAGAAAAAAGAAAAAAAACATTTTGGTGTACTAAGCTCTTGCTATGTGCGGGTTGTGGAAATGGAACGGATCACAAAGGTCTAATATACACAGCCTTACTATGCATTTATGCAAAAGGTTGTTTCCACGGCTTGATACCCTGACCTCCTGAGCATATGATAACAGCTTTACCAGTGACGCTAAGGCTCCCTTCTATATACATATTAAGTGGACCTCTAAATATAATTACAAGATTTAAGCCAAATGCACGATTCGGGCAAAAATTAATGGTCAAGCACACATCTGAACTATCACCTTTTCGCAAGTTTCATAGCTCAACTAGTAGTTGTTCTCTTTTCATATCTGAACTATCACCATCTATGTATTAAGACACCTCAAAACTAACTAGGTCAACTATCAATTGTTATCTTTTCTTAATACAAATATAATTTATTACAAAATACAACATTGATACAATTATGTTGTATTCATTGATGCAAATTGTATTATTTGTTGATATAAATTGTATTTCATTAATATACTTGAACCTAATACAACTTGATACAATTATATTCGTTAATACAATTGATTTGTATCAACAAATATAATAGTTTCTGATACAATTGTATTCATTGATACAAATCAATTATATCAAGTGTATTCGTGATACAATTATCGATCAAATATACAAATCAATTATATATATATATATATATATCGCTTCTCCCCTCCCTCTCTCAATTTCACTCGCCTCCCTCCTCCTTCTAACATGTAGCTAATTTTTTATACAATTATATTTATTGATACAAATCAATTGTATCTGTGATACAAATACACAAACTAATTGTATCTCTCTCGTCTCTTGCCTATCTCTCCTAGATATCTCTTCCCTTTCTTCTCCGTCTAACATATAGCTACGAATTGAAATTAGGCAAACTATAATTATAGATCTCTAATTACGATCCAACTATAATTATTTTTGATAGTTCCTCCCTTCTTTTATGCTATATAACGAGGTAGGGGCCACTAGAGCCGTTCTGGTATGGCTATACCCATATAATTAGTACTATGTTTTATAAGAAAATTAATTTTGATGCCAGCCAAGAATTCTGATTTTGATTGAGTTGCACGATAATTAAATCTCACATAAATGGTTGACCAAAAAGTATTTTATTATATTTTATTCTGTTTTTTTTTTCTATAAAAAATGTGTGTATAAATATATACTAAAGGTTCCAAGATAGAAGAACATATACACAACTAATTTCAGCCTCTTTTTTCTATTTCAAAAAATTTTCTATCAAAATGTGTTCAAAAAAATTGAGATTAAGTGATGGAAGAAACTTAGCTTACAAAGAGAGAGGTGTTGCTAAGGAGAAATCCAATTATAGAATAATCATTGTTCATGGCTTTAATAGCTCTAAAGAAAGTGAATTTCTTGCACCCCAGGTTGGTATATCTCCTCCATAATATACTTTATGGTGTGATACGGTACGAGCGAAAAATATTTTCTTGAAAATAAGTAAAAAAAAAATTATGTTTAATAAGCTTATGTATAATTTAGGCAAATATAGTGGAGATTAGGGGTGTGGCAAAAGTGGATTAAGCCTTATAGCATCAGGTTCATTTGAATCCTTTGATATGATTTTATTTTATTTGGTGCATTTGAACTCAATAACTTTTGAAGTGGTGCATAAATAGTGTGATAGAATTTGATAAAATCACAATAGATAGTAAAATATAAACTTATAACGTTAAAAATAAATGAGTTTAATATTAAAAACGTTAAAGGTTAATCCGTAGAGCTTAAATTCTGGATTTGGGTGTGGGATGAGGAAGAGACAATCCGTTTAGAATATTATTTGTGGAACTTGTGTTTCCTACTTTTACGAGAAAAATCATTTTCCTCCTTTTATTACATGGATTTTAAGAATGTTTTAATTTGTTTCTTGAAATTGTGAACAGGAAATGTAGTTCAATATGATAGAGCTGGATATGGGGAAAGTGACCCAAACCCAAAAAGATCCCAAAGGAGTGAAGCATGTGATATTGAAGAATTGGCTGATCACTTACAATTAGGATCAAAATTCTATATTATTAGTGACTCCATGGGATCTTACCCAACTTGGAGTTGCATCAAGCACATTTCCCAAAGGCAAGATCCACTATTTTTTTTTGCATTTTTTAGCTGATTCAGAATTTAAAGTTTATGTTTTATTATAGATTATTTGAATTAATATATAATAATAACTGAATTCATAATTAAATACTTATAAATATTTAGTAAATATCTTAGTAAAAATACATAATGTTTGAGCAAAAATTAATGGGTCACGTGAACCCAATACTTTAGCGTTAATAGTAAAAAAAAAATACATATATATGAACTATCCCTATTTCACTAGTTGCAACTATCAGTATCTATGCATTAAAACACATAGATGTTGAGTAGATGGTACTTATAATTGTATTTGTTGTCTTGAAAAAGTTATCATTCATATTTATTTATTATTGAAAATATATGATTTGTATAGTTGACAGTTACCATTTGTATTTTGTTACTCTCAATTGCACACGCAAGTGTATGTGGTCACGCAAGTAATATATTGGCTCTTAAAAGAATCAGATTATCGAACCCAAAAGACTTGTCAATTAACTATTTTTACTAAATTCTACTGATCTAATTATTTATTTAAGAGTGCCAAAAGAAAAGAATTCAGGAATAAAATAATAAAATTACTTACAGTAATTTGGAAAATTCAGGGGCTGCAACATACAATGAATCTCATGTATCATATTCTTGGCTTAGAACTAATTTTAGTTGTCAAGGTACTGGTTTACAGGGTTAATTGTATGAGTCGGGGTCTCTAGACCTCTAGTCACCTACTCTAGTTAGCTGTCTAATTACATCGTTGACCGGGGATAAGCAGGCCTAACTGGCGAGCATTTATATTTCATCATGTTTCGTAACCAAGCAAGTTGTTCGTCCGGGCGTCACTCCTAAACACAAATCACCTCAACTTAATGGATTGATCGAGCTCTCTATATTCAAGAACAATCAACAATCAATCCGTAGCTACAGCCCCAGAACAAGGGTGTTTAGCCACTAATCTCTAAGAAAAGAACCCTAAAAAATATTGATGACTTTCTACTTTGATACCCTGTGATTAATCTCCTCCAATAATTATTTCTATGGACTATTTATAGATGTAGAAAATTCTAAATAAAATAATTGAGTCCAAAATTAATGGGAAAATCAAAACCCAAACTGAATTGAATTCCGTTTGACTCGCGCACTGTCCGCCGCCTTCAAGATTTGTGCGCAGCTCCTTGTTTCATATTGTGACACGTGGCAATCTTTCTATTTGCTGATTAGCAATTTGCAATTTGCGATCTTTGCACTTTATATATTATATATTATTATATTGAATTTATTTCATTAAGCTGTCTGCTTAATTTTCTTCTTCAACCTTCTATCTTTAATTCGTTTTAACTTCAAACTTCTTCAACTTTACACCAATTTACTTCTATAAATAAAATACACTATTTAGCACAATTCATAAAATTCATGCTAAAAAAGGACAAATATAACTAATAAATGTGAAACAAATAATGATTAAATTATATATTTTTGACCTCACATCATATTTATATTATTGATTGTTATCGTTTGTATTTATTTTGTAGAGAAAGTTAGAGACAAGTGAGAGAGAGGAGAGAGATAAGCGAGAGTGTAGAGAAAGAGAGAGGAAGAAAGGAGAGATAAATTTATTATAAAATAACAACTATATATAGCTACAAATTGCAATTCTTTTAAGCTATAATTATACATAACACATGTTAACATTGTTTACGTAAAAGAAATGTTAGGATCAAACGCTTACCATCATGTCAAAAGCTATTGCTTAAAGCAAAGGCGCAACTTTATTTTTTAACTAAGTCCACCAAGCAAGCGCCATGTTCGATCATGACTCCGACCTGGGCCACACAACCCCTCGTGGGCCTTGCCATAGGCAGGATGTTGACATTACTCAACAATTCCCCTCCCAACACCTGCTACATGCAGAATGTTGCTCTTGGGAATCGAACGCACAACCTTGACTCTGATACCACTACTTGTTAGGATCAAACGCTTACCATCATGCCAAAAGTTATAGCTTATAGCAAAGACGCAACTTTATTTCTTAACTAAGTCCACCAAGCAAGCGTCATGTTCGATTATGACTCTGACCCAGGCCACCTAACTCCTCATGGGCCTTACCATAGGCAGGATGTTGACATTACTCAACAAGAAATAATTACAAACAAAAGAAAGAAGACATAAAACCATACCTCCAACTCCAAGAAAAAAAGCAAACAAACAAAAAATTCGATTCAAATTTTAACAAATGATTAAATTTTTAGATAAAATTTTATTTTATTTTTTCACTAATAATTTTCGTGAAATTATTCCTTTTGCACCTGTTAGTGATTTTAAATTTTAGAGGCTTCGCCTCATTTTTACACACTAAAAAAAAACAAAACAAAACAAAAAAAAGATAGAAACTAATTGTCGTATGATTTAGTGCTTGTTTGGATTAACTTTTATTTTTTATAGGTATTGATTTTTAAACCTTTTTTTTTATTGTGGAGGTGTTTGAAAAAGTTTTACTCCCTCCATTTCACAAAAAATGGTCTAGTTTGACTTGACACGGAATTTAAGAAAATAAAGAAGACTTTTGAATCATGTGGTCCTAAATTAAAGTTATGTCAAATGTACAAAATTGTCCTTTGATCTTGTGGCCTTAAACATGCCACGTGAAAAACTGAAGTTAAAATTTTACCAAAAAAAGAAAGAGGTCATTCTTTTTTAAATGGACTAAAAAAGAAAAGAGATCATTCTTTTTTAAACAGAGGGAGTACTTGTTTTTAAGCACTCACTTTTAGGTCAAAAAAGTTTTAAAATAAGTCAAAGATAGAGTATCATCTATTTATGACTTTTAACTTTTGACTTATATATTACTTTTTATAAGTTCATCCAAACAGGCCTTACTTCGTTTATTAAGTTTGCTGAACTTCTACATTTTTCAAATTGTTAATATTGCATAATAGTGTTTTGCTCTATCCTGAAAGGAATTAATTCAAACCTTGAATAATTATCAACCAGATAACTTGAAAAAATTGTCAACACATGCTGAGCCTAGAAGATAGTGCCACGTAGATCGAAAGAGGGTAGAAAATTATTTATAAAATAAGTTCGGGATAATAGGACCTTAGTATAGTATAAGTGTGTCTCTAAAATTTCAGACATAGATTGGGGGTACTTATACATTTTCCCAAATACTAATCATTAAAAACTTCTAACATTTCCTATATAATTGGAGCCAACTAATTCTTCTCTACAAAACATATGAACATTATTTTTTACGTATAATATTGAAATAAACCCATTATCCTAAGTAAAGTAGCTTTATTTTCTTATACATGTTCTAAGAGTTTTTTTGGGGGATTACAGATCTATTTTAGTTGACTTGTCATAGATTAATGACTTAATAATAGGGAAAATGCATAACTTTAAATTTGTCGCAAATTCAAATTAAGTCATGTCTCAATCAAACACTTCAACCATGTCCAACTAAATCATTTCTCAATCGAACACCTCAAATTTTAATAAATGACATTTGAACTGCGTCATGTCTCAATCGAACACCTCAACTATGTCCAACTAAACCATGTTTTAATCGATCACCTAAATTCCTAATAAAGTGTTCTGACACTCTATTCAAATTTTCAAAAATAATAATATTGTGAGTGTTTTAAAACTGAACCAACCACACAGCCATTCAGCTTTGAATTAAATAAACATCTTACATTGTAACTTTGTTGTCGATATGGGAGAGCTGCTATTCTATCTACTAATCAAACATCTTGAAAATTGGCAACAAACATATAAAAAAGAGGCAGCTCAGTCGATGTACTAAGGTTTCGCTGTGTGGGATTTGAAAAAAGATCGAACCAGAAGGATATAATATGCAAAACAACTTTATATTGCGAACGTTGGAAAATACAATTGATAGAACCACATTCATCATTTCAGAAATTTAATCAAATGACGATGAATCGGAGCACACTACTAGTTAAGCAGAGGGAAAAAAAGGGAAACTAATCAACGTTCGAACCTAGTTATGATTTTGTTGGAAGATGATCACATCCTGGAAATCTTGAGGGGAACAATGGATTTGAGAATTTCTTCCCTGGAGGAAACAAGTTGAACACTTCCAAGTCTCTTAATGAGATGCTGGCAGCAATCTTCAGCAGCTATGATTCCAGCTGAATAGGCACCGTGCACGGACCCTTGATGGTCATCCATACAGACAGCTTCGCCTCCAAAGAACAGATTACCTAAAGGTGCTCGAAGCTTATCATATATATCTGTTGGCTTTCCAACCAGATCATACGAATAGCATCCTAGGGAGTCTGGATCTGTTCCCCAGCGTGATACAAGATACTGAACCTGCAACATATATAGCTATCAGCTCAATGGTTATTACTTATTAGACATGCTTTCCTTATTTTACTTCCAAACAATCTTTTAGTTACTAACAATATATGTTGTTCGGACTCTTCAAAGATGTCGTAGTGCATTTTTGGAGAATCCGACATGGGTGTTGCAACACATTTGGAGAGTCCAAGGCAACCATAGTTAAATAATGCATGCAGCTGTAATAACTGAAATAGAATTATGCAGGACCAGGTATTACTCACAGGTTCAGGTGCATCAGGAAACATTTTTTTCAGCTGACGCATAACAAAATCAGCCGCCTCTCTGTCTGATAATTTCTCTACATCATAAGCAAGTCTTCCGGCAGCCATATAGACAAGGACTTGATGCCCTGTTGCCTTGTGGAGGTTAAGAAAATACCCACAAGCATAAGAGGTAGGTGCAACAATGCCTAACAATTCAACATTTGGCCAAAATACAGTATCAAATCGTAATGCAATCTTGTTTTCGTTGCCCACACCAAGATCTGCTATTGCAGAAAGCTTCCAATCTGGCAATTTTGGTTTGAACTCAATTAAGTTGGCTTTGAGGACCCCAATAGGCACAGTTATTATAGCAGCATCCGCAACAAAATTCCTCCCATCCTCAACTGTAACCATCACTTTGTTATACCCATCCGTAATCGCCTTTACCCTAGTAATTCAGATCGATGGAAAATTAGAATTGCAGACAAGCATGGAGGCTAAAGTATAGGTAAATCAAGATAAGAAATTACTTGGCAAAAAATAAAAATTTATTTGCTTCATTAATTCTCCACATCCAATACTTGTAAACACTGAGGCTTGGGTTAGGATTTGGATGTGGTGTTGAGAAATTCTTAAACAGTGTGCAGCAGAAAAGTTGCATTATGTGTTGAGCTTCGGTTTAGTGCTAAGAATAAAGCTCGCATGATGTGTAGCCCACCATATAGGTTAGGCACACGTCACGAGTTTAAATCTGGCCGCAGACAAAAGCCTACTATTTGATTGGAGAAAGGTAGATAGGAATAGGCCCATCAACTCCGAGTTTCGAATTGTGCCACACTATTCCTCAGAAATTCTCGATTATAAAAAAAAAAAGTTGCATCACAGCTAACATTCTCAGGATGTCCAAGAAAAACAGACAAATTTTACCAAGGCAAAAAATCAACTCTGATGCAGACAGGTAATCCATCATAGATTATGAAGTGATTGAAAAAAAAGGTAAAATACAAATAAGAAAGCAACATTTCCAGCAGATGAAATCCTTCTGGGGAATTTTCTCCCATTATTTCAGTGGCCTGCCATTTTTTAGGGATGGGGATTGGGAGAGAGGAGAAATGTCTATCCCAGGACCCAGGCAGCCTGGGTCCTGGGCCAGGCTTTGGTGTGACTTAAAAAGAAAATGGCATCATTGTGGAGGAAATGAATTACATTTTGTTTCTTAACTTTCCTATAGAAAATCTTGTAACAAGAAGATTCAATCGTAAGTCCACAAGTTGGTCCGTCTATGGGTTTAACAGTCACAAGTGCTGCATTAGTTTTCAGATTCTAAAGTGAAAAGCCAACAGCGTGACAAGCTAAAGAAACAACAAGCAAGATGTCAAACTTCACATTTCACAGAAAACCCCAAACATACCTGTGATTCAAACGAATATCAATATCTTTTGACAATGCCTCAATCACCGGGTGATAACCCTGCACCATTAGTCCATGGCCACCCGTAAGAACTTGCTCCTGCACACAATGTAAACAACATTAATATTACATATTTAGGAAATTATTCATCAAACATATCCTAATGGCGACAATTTAAAGCATCTAATGTAAAATGGAACGCCAAAATTTCCTATCTGGAAGTATGTAGATATCTGAAAATGATAGCTATAATAACACGAGTTGTGCCTTAAACTTCTGACATACTTGACAGTTTTCTTACTTATCGCATTACTGAACCAGGCAGTTAAAGCCTTGCCATTTGGATGAGGAATATTGTCTTTGGTGATTGGGAATAGTAATAAAATCTTTTAGATGCACAGTCTATTCAAAGAGATGCACATAAAATTACTCTTTTAGAAGAAACTAAGAATAACAAGAAAAAAAACTTGCCTGATCCCAAGTTTTCAAAGAGATTGTGTCTGCATCGGCAGAAAACCATGCCTCCATTCTGCATATGTACCACTGCAGTACTTCATGAGAGACTCCTTCTTGCCTGCGGCAGCATATAAGATCAGTGAAGGTAGCTAGATTAGAGATTTAAAAGAAACAAACATAAGTTGGTTATAAGGAGAAGAACTTTTTCCCATACCTCAGCTCAGGATGCCTGTCCAATACAATAGATATTGCTTGAAGTACCGATATGTCATTACTATTCTCATTTCTCACTTTCTCAGTCTGCATTTGCCGATACACATAATCATTTATTTGCGACTTTATAAAACCTCAAAAGGAATACCACTGGGTGAAATAAAAGCAGAGCAAAGACAACCTCATCGAGGATTTTCTTGAATACATCTCCTACTTCAGCAACTGTATTATGAGGAACTTGATGACCATCCATGTCAAACAGCATGCAGCTTTAAAAAGAAAGAAAACATAATCAAGCTCCTGAATGATGAAATAACATCTCTAGTTAATGTACACAAAAGCAAAAAGAATATAGGCTAAAATCTAGCAGATACAGCATGCTTTCAATATGAGTGCACTGAGAGATGTGAAGGCAAGCAACAAATCTTCCACACAGACAAACTATAAGTGTGATTTACTTTTTCATTATGAATCAGATTACAATAAACTGCAAGATACTTGCTTGCAGAAAAAGCTACTGCGACAATTCAAGAACAAGCTAACAGATTTTTGCCCCGATTTTTGAGTGGCTACATCAGAATGGAAACAGAGAACATGACTTTAAGAATCTGAAGCCAAAAATCTAAGGTGTAACTAAGAGATAAGCCAGCCCCTCCATTTAGACAGAGAGAGAGAGAGGGTGTTTAAACAAAAGGGAAACATGTCCACTAAACATGATAAAATCATTTTGAAACTAAATGTGAAAAATCCAATTTACCTTTCCAAATCATGGTCATAAAGCACTGAGTCGTCACCACTAGTTCGATACAGAGTGAGCCCCAGCCGCCGTATCAAAGGAGCTAAAGGATTTTCATTGCACACTCCATGGAGCCTGAGATGCAATTTGAAGAACATGAAGAAGCATCTAGTTCTGGATAAAGAATTTGAGGGTAAAAGATTAGTGTTACTCACCATGAAGCTCCCAGATCAACTGGACAACCAAATGAGTTGTCAGTGTGTATGCGACCACCAAGTCTATCTCGTGACTCCAGCAAGAGCACCTGGATAAAAATAGACCAGCTTCATTAGCAAGAAAAAAATTAGAACATAAAAGTCACTACATGTGAAAGGGGTTTAAAGTCATGAGTAACCTCACCTTGAAATAAGCATTCTGAAGGAAACGTGCAGCAGCTACCCCTGAGATACCTCCACCAATTACAATGACCGACGGAGATGAACCATGTCGCCTCCCTAAGCAAGGTGGTAAAGTGCCCAGTTAACCAATAGTTTCATGGCCATAATATATATATAAGGGTAACAAATATCAGAATGGAGTAAAGGCAGCTTCACTACTATACAAAACTGCAGCAGAAGAAGTGAATAACATATTTCTTTTAATTTCAAGAATTCATAGATGCAATATGTTTCCAATAAAGCATGTCAAACCCAACTGCAAAACTTGTAAACAAATAATTTGTAGAACAGGTGCAAAGCTTATAACATTTTTTTGATATCGTACAAAATCCCCTGTTTGGTTAGCTGGCCCAACCTTAGTTGGGTATAAGTTGAAACTCAGATTATAAGCACACCATTCTACTCTCCTCCCCTTAAACACCAAGATTTTGTCATCGTCAGGGCTCACTCTACTAATGATTGCCTTCCACATTACCTACGTTCTTCTTTTACCATTGAACCAAAGATCTAGGGGTATTGAAAACTTATAATATAAGAGGGTATTGTTCCTAAAAAGACAAATCACTTGAGTCCCCTCAATTGTTCATATTATCAAATGATATGGGCACACACATGAACTATGAAAGGACCCTTTGCTTATTCAATCCACATTTTTTCCAATCATAAGAATCAACGCTCTGAGTTAAACAAATATAAGCCCACACACATAATGCAAGCTAACAACATTAATTTAAATTCAATTTCTTGACAAATATAGAATAGTTCTGCTATAACTTCACTGCTTTTCATCTATTATTTCAGTAAAATCATAGCAATCACAGTAATCAGTCACAGTTTAACGGATCCGGTAATTTCCTAAAACACGAAGACATTACTCCATCCATCCCAATTTATGTGGCACTTAACAAGTTTGACTAATCTTTGAAGCTAAATTGGACTAATAAGTTGCAATTCTTTTCATGAACAGATGCAGACCCAAGATTCGAATACAACAAGATCACCACCAAAGGCAAATGCACACAACACCATCTCGTTTGATATTCTAACGTCTAAATATAAATTGAATGAAGCTCGCAGTGTCGACCATTTGTTTCAACACCACTTTGCATTCATTAGGTTGACTGTTTGAAACCCACCACCTACATTCCATACACATTCTTTTAATTGTCAACTTAAAAACCAAAAATGATATACCATCCCAAATTCAATCTCAGGTAATGACCAAATCCAACACATACACTAGACGATTCTTCTTAAGATATAAACACACAATTCAACCCATATTTGTATATAAATTATAAACACCCTCTATACACTTTACACAAGGTTGATACATTGTATTTCCCTAATGAACAAGAATTCAATACAATTAACAAACTAACCAGAATCATTCCCTTTGAGCTCCATGATTCAACAATGGTTACTTGAATTCGAAGAAATCAAGAAAAGAAAAGAAAAGGGTGTGTGGGGAATGTTGTTAAGGGTGTATAGGAAGCAAGAAATTGGAAATTAATTGGAAAGAATGGTAAAGCATGAAGAGAAGAAGGCCGGCAATGATGCGGCTTAAATTGTAACAACACTGTAACTGATCAAATCCACTCATAATCACAAAATCCTCAAATAAACAAATCGTTTGGTTTGCATAGATCACAAATTTCGTTTTTCTTTTCTTTGAGGCAATTCGTCGAACAGTTGTTAGGCAACGGCAAATGAGTGTTTTATATATAATTAATGAATGAAGAACAACAGTTTAACAAGAAGCTAAAGCCAACCGCTTTTAATGATATTGTGTTTGGTGAGGGTTATTTTTGTCATTTTATCTTCATTTTTTTAGGTGGTGCCATGTCATAATTTATATTCTCCGTTTCATATTAGTTGTTCATTTTTTTTAGGTAGAATATATAAACTTGTCTTTAACTTGGTCTTAGCTTACATTTATGTCGTTCAACTTTGGGCGTGTACAAGTAGATGCTTTAACTTATATAAAGTTGAGTAAGTAGAAACATAATCCTACGTAGCGTCCTACATGGTAATTCACGTCATACATGACATTTTACGAGTATTATGTCAAGGAGAACATGTCTTCAATTTTATACTATACTTTTGTAGACTCGAAATCCAATGACATAGATGTTAATTGTGGTCAAGTTAAAGAGCATATTTATATATTATGCTTTCTCTTTCACACACTCTTCACACTTTGTTTGGATGGTTGTTTTCCATTGTATTGTTATTATAAATACGTTGTTACTTAAATTTTATTGTATCGTATCATATCGTTAAATTCATCGTTAGGTAATGACAAAAAATCTCATTTATGCAACGATCGATTTGGTGATCGTGTCGCTATCTTTTTTATATTCCTTTATTTATTATTTAATAATCATATTTTATTCTTTATCGTATATTTTTATAGTAACTTTACATTTGTTTTTTATCTAATCTTTAAATTGTTAAAGTCCAAACAAATTAAAGTCCATTTATAGCTCCAACTGATTAGATAGCTAGGCAAATAAAATGAGTTGAGTTGATAAATAAATTGATTAGCAGATAAATATTCTATGATGCAGATTATTGATAATGAGTTCATATGAATACACTATTTTTTATGCCGATCATAAATTTATATATAAAAATTCACAAAAAAGTCATAATGCTTACAACTAATTGTCATATAAGTTGGTTCACCTAAAGAGAGTAGCATCAATTAATATTCAAAGATACAACAATTCATGCCCTTTTTTGAGTCATGGCGCAACTTGTGCATATGTGTGGACAAAGTATTGATGATATCCTAACCTAACAACCTCAAAATGTCCACTAAATGCACTTTGAGTGTGCGTGTGAGTTGGAGTATTTTGAATTTTCGAATTTCTTTTATTATTATGACAAAAAAATCGGTTTTAATTTGTTTAATTGATAAGTGGTGATTTTATTATTTACTTACGTATTTATAGTTTAATTAGTATATGTTTATGCTTAATTTATTATTATCAATGGATTTCGAGATGCAAAATTATTTATTATTTTTTTAAGAGAAAGTGAAAAGTAGCTTAAAGGAGAAGTTGGACTCAAAAGGAAAAGAAGAAAAGGTGTGTTTAGCACTATTTTGAAATTCTAGTATTTGGCTAGCATCGTGGCTCATATCATATTTTATTTTCCTAAATTAAGATTAAAAGAAATATTTGAAACACAAGTTAATTATATATTTGTATGATAAAAAAATTAATTCTCTCAAGAAAATAAAATATTGAAATTGCAAAATCCGACTTTTATTGGTTTTCTTTTGATTTGATTTAGAAATTTAAGAATTCGACTTAACATCAGTCATTTTTGAATGACTTCAACCATTTCTATCCAAAGTTCATACTCATACACTTATTTCCAGCTCTCAAATTTCACGTCTTTTATCTTTTTTTTTCTTAAACTTTATACCAAATCAAATAAAATAGAAAATAATAATAATAATAATAGATTAAATCATCTTTTGATAACCAAAACAATTTCAAATGTCACAACTCATACATTCGCCACCTACCTACCGTTTAAATAAAACAAGCAAGATCCAATTTAAGTATGGAACTTCGAACACAAAATACAACAACATAAACATACTCAATGAAGTCCACATGATGGAATCAAGTAAGGACAGAAGTATGCCTCTATCCGACTCAGGTAACACATATCAAAGAACATAAAAAATAAATATAACAAGTACTACAGAAAGCATCACATAGCATCCAGCTGAAAAAAGAAACAGTAACAACAACAAAGTAAATACATTTAGTAAATCCTTTTAAATATTTTTTGATAAGAACCATCAAGCAAACAAAGGGGTTTGATTTGTAAAACTAGTTGATCTATGTGGAGGAGCAGGAGGTCTACTATTATTCCCAAGAAAGCTTCCATTTCTCTTTGCTCTTAATGATGAACATGAGCCTCTCTTTGAGCTTAGTCTTGAAGAACTATTGCTTCTAATAGGAGGATGCAGGTTATTTGATTTGAAACCTTCTAAGAAAACTCCATAACTCTTGCATGATTTGAGCTTCTTGTTGTATGGATTTTCTGGCTTAGCCATGTCCTCTAAGCTTCTCACATTTGATAGAGAGGTGAATGATTGTGATTTCCCATTGTAGTGTTTTGACAAGCCTCTCCTATTAACCCAAAAAAAAGGAGGACAATTAATTAGCATCATAATGAAATATTAATGTGAAAAATGTTAAAGAAGGATATAGAGGGTGGTGTTTAGATAATGTTAAAATGCAAATCAAAGTTAAGCATCTTTAGATTAATTGTGGTATTTGTTAAAAAGAAGGATCTGGAATCTAATTCAATCTCAAAAGTTAGCTTAAGAGAGGAGGATTATCGAAGAACATGTAAAGAGATCATCCATTCCTTTTACATTCGATGTGGAACTCTTCAATACCGTACCTTACGTCCAGGGCTGGACATCTCTGAAGTGTAGGCAATTTGATATGGAAGCCCAACATCATGAAACAAGAATTGGGATGTATTATGTTTTGATAGCATGTTAAGAAATGAATCTAGTATTTGATAAAAATCAAAAGTATGGTTTAAAGTAGTGTTTTTAAGCTAAAAATAAATCAAAAGCAATAAGTTCAACACCACTCAACTTTGCTTGTTTTCCGTTTTAATAGTTTTATCCAAACGAGCAATTAGTTATTTTTAATACAATTGAAAAGTATGGTGCTTAAACACAACTCAACTAATTTCAAGTACAATACAGGTATCAAATAGCTCTTATTCAACAAAGCTTGAATATGTGGAAGTAAACTAATCTAGTATTCTTTAGGCGCCCTTGTAACAATTGGTATCAAGGCCAAGGTTCGACAACGGATGAAGAAACACATTGCTATTGTCATCATTTTTGGCCATGACATCTTAGGTGCCCAAAATTGTATCAATTTACCTGCCCTATTTTAGGTATTTTCAAATTAAGTGATCATAAGTAACGAGTATTCACACATCCTTAATTAGAATCGGATAGAAGCCTCTTAGGTCATGAGAGACTTGATGAGTTAATCAATTCCTTTACCACATTTCTACCCCTTCTCTTTTGAACCACCTATAAGGATTTTTAGTCTAGCTAAGCTACCTAAAACACTTTGAAAAATTGATTTCTCAAATCGTCAGTTAATACTCACCATATCCCATTTCTTCTTGATTTCAATTAATTCAATAAAAAATGACTTTCTAAAATAATATTTAACTACTAGTTAAGTGAGTATACTAGAAATCAACTCCCACCTTAAAATAAGTCTCATCCTTTCATATACTCGCTCTGTTTTTAAAAAAAAAATGATTTATTTTCTTTTTTAGTCTGTTTCAATAAGAATGACCCTTTTTCTTTTTTGGTAAGACTTGAACTTCAACTTTCCACCTGACATGTTTAAGACATAAGATTTTAGGACATTTTGATACATTTGACATAACTTTAATTTAGAATCATAAGTTCTTTTCTTAAACTCCGCTCTAAATCAAACTAAGCCATTCTTTTTGAAACAGAGAGAGTAATAATTTGCCCTGCCTCGTGATTCGAAAGATAACTAAAGCCTCTATCTTGAAGGGGGCGTGATAATTTCATCTAACGTATGATATTACGTACGAAAGTAAATAAATACAAATTTAATCAGACTCCAATATAAATACATAACATAAAAATAAAAATAAAAACAGAGGAAAAGTAGTTGTTACTTGAAGGGAAGTTCTTGAAGAAGAGTGGACATATTTTGCAAAGCTCCTTTTGTGTGTTCATCATGACTTATTGAATCACCAGAAGAAGAAGAATTCGGAGAAGTCGGATCTGAAGAATCCCCTTCTCCTTCTTCTTCTTCTTCGCCAAGCAACTCCGAATCAGATGAAGAGAAATTACTCAAAATATCAGAAGAATCAGAATCATGATTTTCCTCATCCATGATCCCATGGTTGTTTTGTTGGTCCAAAGAAACTAATCTCATTTTCACATTCATAATCTAAACAAACAAAATCCACCATACAGTTCTTGAAAAAAAATAATGCAATTTTCCTCTTTTGGTACTTTCTATGTGAATGAATAGGTGAAACAAGATAAGGGGAAAAAGGAGTATATAAATATAAAATATAAATATATACTATAGTTTTAAATTTTAATATTAATGTTATGTGATATCAAAATATTAAAAAAAAAAAAAAGATTCGGCGTTATCCAGTTTTCTATCTTAGTGCCAACCCAACCTAATTGACCCCACTTGTCCCAATCAGTACGATAAATGGAAAGATAAAGTGTTTGGACCAAACTCCATTTATCCTTTGGCGCATGGACACCACTAGCGTTATTTAATTATTGGCAAAATGGTCTGATGGATCCCTGTACTTGTATCAGTTTGTATTATGAATCCTTTTATTTAACACTTTATCAACTAAACCTTTATACTTAGTAAAACACAATATATCAAATCCCTCTGACCATTGACTATGCTTATGTGGCATTAATATGATTGAGGTGGCAAGAGAGTGAGACCACACGCCTATTAAGGCAAGTGAACATCATATTTAAAATTTAAAAATATTTAAATTAAAAGAGTAAAATAATAAACTAAAAAAGGAAAAAAGAAACCCTTCTTCTTCACACATTGACCTACTTTTTTCAGCCATTTCCATTTTTGTCCAAGCATATGCATTGACTTGGTACCTTGCTTATATGTTGCTTGGGTACATGAAAACTCTAACCTTAGCTCCCATGGACTTTGGTGGCAAATTGGACTTGAAGTTAGATCTAATAACACCACTGTTTCCATGAGGCCTACAAACTTTTCCCCAAATACAACGATAATGTGAGTTATTCTTCTTTGTTTTCGCCTTGTATACATAAGCCATACATTTCCCCAAGTACCAATCTACTTCCTCCTTAATGTTCACTCCCTCGATCTGAACCAATGAAGTGTTTGGATACTGATTGGATTTCGATCTCTTGTATTCGAGAACTTTTCCTCTGGTATAGAGTCTCACACGCTCTCCTTGGCGTCCCTTCACCATTTTCGTTTATGGAGCTAGCTGCAAACTGAAGAAAATCCCTTCTAGTGGAAAGCCTAAATTAAAATTTTATTTTATAAAATTTGCATTAAAACTTTATGATTTTTTGTCCAAAAAGAAATTATTTTAAAAATAAAAAATGATGTGGCAAATTTTATCTGACATGGAATGTGACATCAGCGCGATTGAGAGTCACGATGAGTTGAAAGGGTTCAACAAGTTGAGTTTAAATGAGTTCGGGGGTTCAGATGACAAATGGATAAGTAGAAGGGTTCACAATACAAATGGGTACAAGTATAAGGATCTACCAGATCATTTTGCCTTTAATTATTTCATCTTCTATCCTTAGCAGGGCTAAATCGACTAATGAAAGAAAGTAAACTACGTGGCAAAATTGATTATGAAGAAATTTTATAGCAATTTGAGGAGAATGAAAGAGATATCCTTCTGTGTATTACTAAGAGCCTTGAATGAAAGAGGTTCTGCATAGAATAGAAGACATTAGAAAATCTCAAGAACCTTTATGATATTCTCTTATTCTCTACCTTTAGCATTTTCTATGAAGCATCCCCCGCCCACCCCTACTTCGAGAAGATTATATTTTAGTATAGAACCACTATATTAATGTTGTTTTAGTATAAGTTATTTCTCGATCGATGTAAATTCACTTATTTCTAATTTCTCTTTCACAAAATTTATTATTAATTAGAATAATGATTTTTTTCGATAAATACATCTGGCATTCAATATATGAAATGGGGTCCACATACATTTAAATTTCTCAAATTCAGATTAATCGAGCTTTGATATCGACCCCAAAACTATTACTATATTTGTGTGTGTTATGCACCTTAGAAGTGGGCGAGTGAGTGTTTGAAGATGTGAAATAATGGATAAGGCTCTCCGCTCCAACTTATTACTTTACCGCTACTTGTTTTTTCTCTTTTTCCTTTTTGTTTTCCTACGGCGCTCCTTGTTTTTTTTTTTTTTCATATTATTATTCATTATTAATTTCCACCGTCCCTAAAATAAAAAAATAAAAAATAATTTCTCTGCTCTTTTTGCTTTTTCCAAAAGAGAGATTTACTTATAACTTTTGACGTGGATTTATTTTTCTTATTGTTTTGAATGGATTTATACATGTATTATTTGAGGACATTGCAATATTATTTACAGATCAATTTCTGTCCAATAATATTATCCATTATTGTTTCTACTCAAATACAAAATTTAAAGTTCTCATAACCTGTTTAAAAGTATATTAAGAGAAATCATAATATTTAACTAATTTTTCTAAATTTATTTGTCAAAAAAAAAGATTATTGGTTCACTAATAAATTTTAAAAATATCTTGAGCAACAGTTAATATTTGATTAAATTTTTAGATTGTATTTTTCTTAAAATGCGTTTACGAAAAAAAAATAACTTTTGAAAAAACAACTAATGCTACTCAAAGAAAATACTACTTATTTTTCCTTCAAAACTTTATCAAATATCATACTTTTTTGAATAATCATTTTTTAAAACAATAATTACTTTTAATTAATCAAAAACTTGATCAAACAAATTACATTAATTAATTATTAATGTGCGGCACAAAACTTTAATTATGGTGGACCTAAAATCCGTTTGGCCATGGAGTTGGGGGACAGTTGGAATTTGGTAAATCATAACCTTTTCGTTTTAGTTTGTTCGTTCTATTTTAATTTGATACGAAGTATTTTTTTAAATATAATTTAAATTTATAATAGTAAATTAAAAATATGTTAAATATATTAAAATATTTTTAATTTCATAATTTTAAATATTTCAAAAGGAAAATTAAAATTATAAAGCTATAATAAGATTTTTTTATAAAAAAAGTAAGACAAATAAATTAAAACAGTAACTAATTGCAAAATTGGGAGGTAATCACTACCTTACTTAATTCATTAATTAAACTTGTACCTAAGTCTTTATCATTCACCACTTCTTCTTCCAATAGTTATCCATCCACGTAAGGGAGGGGGCATGTTTATTCATATATATTTTTTAAAATTTAAAATATGATATTTGACAAATTCAACTTAAAGTTATATTTTAAATTTGAAAATCGTACCATGTTGTTACCCTAATCCAAGGACCATACAATGTTAATTTACTCAATCTTCAACTATCAATTGAAATACTCCCCATTTCAATTAGTTTGCATTGATTTAAAATATAACGACAGTGAAAGTAACTAATGTTTGATATAAATTTGAACAGATAATTTTTAGTTTATTTTAAATAAAATTTAGAAATTATATAAAAAGTGCTACAAGGCACAATAGTTAACAATTCAGAATATTTAGAAAGTATTTGAAAAAATTATAATAAAAAGTATGTATTTTGATTGTCCAACTACTTCCTCCGTGTCTCCGTCTCAATTTATTTGTTATATATTTCTCTTTTACATGTCCTTTAATAATAAAAAATTAACTATGAGGGATTTTTTTTTTTGCCACTTCTCTATCATTTATATCTTAAAAATATGATTTCTCTTTATAAAATATTTACCTTGTAATTTGTGAGAACAAGTAGTATTTAGTATAAAGGATAAAATAAAAATATTAATTAATTTGAGATAAATATTTTGAGAAATTACTATGAATAATTCGATAATTAAGACAAAAAAAATTTGAAGCTAAGAAGAAATAAATAGCACATGGAATTAGCTTTCACCAAGTGGACGTGCCGGAGTGGTTATCGGGCATGACTAGAAATCATGTGGGCTTTGCCCGCGCAGGTTCGAATCCTGCCGTCCACGTTTTTTTTAATTCCCTTTTTCCGAACAAATGATTTGTTTTCGTTAAGATTAAGACATTTTAATCTGAATGCACATTTAAATATTAAGATGTGTATTAAGATCTAAATATCTAAATCTGAATAAGTAAGCCCCAAATGAGTAGTTTCTCAATGACTTTTAGACGATTTAACTCATCCATTTACTAACTCGACTCATTTAAACATGTTTTTTCAGCCCAATTGATTCATTTGACACCCCTGTGTTTTAGAAATCATTATAGTTTCCTAACATTAGTTATATATGTCTAAAGTTTAACTCTATTTCAAATATGGTCTGAGCAGTTTGACTTTAGTTCTGTTTATCTAAAGTTAAAACTTTTTACATAATATCTCAACTTCAATCATATATAAATTTAAAGTTTGACTTGACAATCTTAGTCATATACGTTGAAGTGAAGTGTCTATTTTACACTCTCCATCTAAACCTTATATATATTTGTGCATTTATAAATTATCACATAAAATATTAAATGACAAGTCTAAAGTTATACTGCTAAGACGAAAAATAGTAAAATTACACATCATTTATCACCAGACTAAATAACTCAAGCCTTATTACACACGTGTACAATTATACAAATACTGTCTATAAATCATCACATTAAATATTAAATGAGAAGTCTAATGTTGAACTGTTAGGACGAAAAATAGTAGAATTACACATCATTCGTCGCCAGAGTAAATAACTAAAGCCTTATTACACACGTTGTACAATTATACAAATACTTAAAGATATTTTTTTTATCACAATACATTTTGATAATTAAGGATGGATTAATTATACTAATCTTTAGTTCCAGTACAAATTAATGATCCATTAGTTTTAAACAATTTACAACCTTCATCTGCTGTGCAACAATTGACACAAACTTGACTAATTTGTTCATCTCCTGAAGAAGGACAAGTCATGTAGGCCACTTTATCATCACAATATTGGAGACATGACTTGGCATTTGTATATTCCACTTGGATTCCCAACAAAAATATACCTATAAAAAAGGATATAAGATACACATTTAGTTTGGAAGCTTGATATGTGCGGCACATCAAAATTAGGGACGTCAAGATTAGCTCATGAAAATATAAATGACCAGCGTGATTCACTAGCTTATCCCATTTTGACTAAACATGTAGATTAAATTGACTCGAGAGAAATCCTATTGAAATATCTTTAAAAAACTTATTTACTTGGACGAATTAACAATTATCCATTTGTTTAAGCTCATTTTGACTTAGTCTATCTCAGCTCAAGTAAGGGTCTATTTAATAACTAAGCCCATTTGACTCTCCAAAGGTCAACACAACCTATATATTGATCTGCTCATTTATTAACTCAACTCATTTTGATCCAACAAATTTGTTCATAAAAAAGTTTTGCTGATTTGACTAAACATAACTCAAATTGTACTATGAAAAATTTCATCAAAATATTCTTAAAAGTTTTTTCAAATAAAAAAATTGATGTGTTATATATCACCATAATAATAATAAAAAACTATTAGGTGCTAAATAAATTATTAAAATATATAAAAAGAAATTGAAACTTGATCAGAGTTTGGATTGGTCATTGACCCATTATTTAACCCATATAAGCTTACGTAACTTTTTACTCGATCATTAACCCGTCCACTTATCAATTCGTTCCACTTTTATAACTCTTCAAATTCAATTTAACCTGACCATTTAATACCTAGATATACAATATTACATTTTTGGCTTAAAGCTGGTTATAAAGCAAAATATATATCAAAGAAGCCTTACCAGACAATAGAAGGAGAGAAAGGATACCAACTTCGTAAAAGGCCATTGTATGTGTTTTTTTTAAAAAATTGCTGCTTAATTTGAGGATAATATCCTCTCTTAATATAAGCTATTTATAGAGCAAAATAAAAGATACTAAAATACAACTAGGAATTGATATATAACTTTTCTCATAAGTACACCAAATTTGGATTAACTTACACAGTTGTCAAAGTGGACCAATTGTGAATCAATCAAAGCTAACTCAATGCAGCCTTCACATTGGATTGCATGACCTGACTGTTTGAATTTTTGGTATTAAATCAATCTCTCAGTAACGATGTCATTTATTCAGATATTTAGTTATATATATATATATATATATATATATGAGAAATCTATTATAAAAAAAACTTAATTGTTAGAGTAAAATGTTA